TACAATGCGTTTAGGTGATGTATATAGATATTTTTATTTATTATAATCCAGGGTTCATAGAGGCCTTGGGTTTTGCAGAGCATTGTGGGCTTTCTAATAAGATCACTGCAGTAGCTTTTCTTTTCGGATCCGTTAGTCTACGGAGACGTATAAGTGGGGGAAGGGAAGCTGAGTCACACATCTGACTTACTCGTGGTCTTTTTAAAGTAAACCTGTGCTCAGAGAAATGCGGAGGCTGCCATTCTTGACATCCTTCTGAAAATACTAGCTGCCTGGCTATTATTTGGACTTTAACCCTATCGCTCCTAAGCACATATGGCTTAATTCAGAACCACCACTTGCAGCTGGCCAGCTCTGTATGCCTTATGTCCTTGGCATTCCTTACTCGACTATAAGCTCATGGTTGTTTCAGTGATTATTAAAGGTCAACTCCGCGTGTAAGGTCCAGTAAGCCATCACGTCCAATACAGTTTATTGGATGTGAGGACGCTAAGGGACATTCTATCGCTGGAACGGAGAAGAGATGTTTCAGGGACTGGTCTAGCAGCCGCAAGCTTCCAAAGGTTCGGGGGAATATATTTTCGTTATTGTCATCTAGATTAAAACAAGCCCTTAACCCTTGCAGTGAGCTACCCCCACATTACAAGGGTTAAGATCATTTCTACTCTGGAATTATTTTAACTTATCATCAGTCTCTTTGACGGGGCTGATTAAACTGATCGCTATGATCAGTGATTGACAAGCTGCTGATCATAGCTATGCATTCACAGTGACACCTGCCGCCACCACCGCATTGCCCGACATGAATCTCCCTGCTGGGTGCCTGCGGACATCTCTGTTCTGCGTCCCCTACGCAGCCTGCTGTCTACGCTGTGCCCTTCAATTCCTCTACTGCTCTTCCACTACCTGTAGCAGTGGAGACAGTTGTCTGTGCAGGAGAAAGTTACAAACTTCAGGATGGCGAATGAGAATCAGAGTGGAGAATCAGTAAAAATGTAAAGCTGGCCATACACCTGCAGATTTTCTCAGGTCAGATGGGAAAAGTGCAACAGATTCCTCCATCTACACTAAACTGTGTGGATGGGGGAATCTCCCACTGGGCCAAGCTTCAGTATCTTGCTAGTCGGCCCCGCTGGCTCTCAAAATACCTGAACAATGCCTGCATCCAATCAGATTGTTCAGGTATTTTGAATACCAGGGGGGCCGACTAGCAAGATACTGAAGCTTGGCCCAGCAGAAGATTTCTCCATCCACACAGTTTAGCGTAGATGGAGGGATCTGTTGCACTTTTTCCATCTGACCATAGAAAATATTGAGGCAGCAATGGCAGCCTCAATATTTCTCATGACAGATTTCTTATAATGTGTTTGCTTTAGAAGTGTATGTCTGTCGGGAATAACTGGTGACCAGCCCCGCCGAGGTGGTATCAGGTACCTACCATCACCCATGCCATCAACCGGGCAAACTCCCCGCTGTGTTTGAGATCATGCAGAGCTCAAGGCACGTATGCTCACTTATGGTGGGATTGCTCCCCTTTTACCTTGGATATCGTATGTAGTGTGATTGTCTTAATGTATGCTCACTGTATTGTATGTATGTCTTTTGTTATATTCTGAACCTTCAATAAACATTTTAATATGGGGGGAAAAAAGTGTATGGGAGGGGGGGAACAACCTGTACAGTAGGGCTGCAACTAATTATTTTCATCGCTTAATTGGCTGATTTTTTTTTTTTTGATCGGATAAAATAAATATCAATTTAAAATGAAATGCAGTGTTAGTTTACTTCATAATAAAACCATGCACAATGTTTTGCAATCACACTGCACTGGAATGCACGGCATTGCGGAACCGTGCGTTCCATTGCGAGCAACCACACTGTTGTGCTTGCATTTTTTTGCTGTCATTGAAATGAATGGCACTGCAATGCACCTCCTGCAGCAAAATTGTCAGGCCGAAAACGGAAATTAGTTTTTTCCCACCTTTTTTTATTGTATTTTTTTAAATAATTGTATTGTAAGCGCATGTTAAGTCTGTGAGGTTGAATAGAATAAAAATCTGGTAGATTCCTCCTTCTACGCTAACAGAGTGGATGGACGAATCTTCTGCTATCTTTTGCATTCTGTAGTGGTGCCCATGCTTACAGCTGGTTTGCTGCATGCACTGGTTACCTGATTTCCCAACATATCCTTTTTTGACAAGTCAATCTAATGACTGACAGGGGCTACCAGGAATCAAATTTTGGCTGAGATTTGATCTTAATCCCTCCCACCATCCTTGTCTCTTATGCCTCATTCACACCAAAACTGCATTGAAAATGCATGCGTTTTTAGCCATTGTATTGCAATGTGTTTTACCGTTTTTGATGCGTTCCGATGCAGTTTTTTTATTAAAATGCAAATCAGACTATGTCACTTCCTTCTTCCTGTCACAGCACTTTCCTCCATTTTCTAGCTTGGACATGCTTCCTTTGTTTGGCAGGTTCTTGTTAGTGTTGGCTATAGCCATTTTCTAATAATAAACGTAGTTATTGGGTGCACCCCTTGCTGACGGTCAGAGATATTTGATTATTAGATTAGCATCCATGTCTGCCATGTTTCCAGAGCTGTTCCATTCCTAATCTCCTCTACCAACTCACAGGAAGTCCCCAGAAGATTACATTACTAAATCTGTGGGGGGTTTTTTTAAAGTTGCGTTTGCATGTGTTTCGATGCAGCTATAATAGTGCAAGCAGTACTTTTTCTGGCTGCATCGGAACGGACTAGTCTGGTGTGAACAGAACAACGGAATCCCATTGGAAATCATTGTGCTGCGTTTTTGATGCAGCTCAAAAACGCAACGGACTGCATCTGGTGTGAATGGGCCCTAAAACACAGACCTTTAATCTATGGTCCAGGATGAGGCTAATTGGACTCCTTGAGGTAACAGGATAGCAGGCACAAGACACAGGGCAGCATTGAATAGGATGAGAGCAACCGGTATTTGTACATATTGCATGGATATAAAGCACTTAATATCTTTGACTCCATTCACACCTAGGCAACAGTGTTTTCATGCATTATTAATTTTTTTAGCAGTTTTACACGCGTAAAGAGACCGGTTGATTTTGTTTGCGTGACTGTGTCAAGCATGTGATAATGCAAAAACTTGTGTTGCATGATTTCCACTGAAATCTTTGGGGCAAAAAGTACCATATTTGCCGGCGTATAAGACGAGTTTTTAGACTTAAAATCGTGGGTCGTCTTATACGCCGGGTATACAATACCGCTGGATGTGCGGTAATACTGTATGAACGGTAGCTTCGGCTACATACAGTATACCGCTGAATGATAATGAATACAAAGCCTGCCGTGATTGGCTCAGCGCGGTATACTGTATGTAGCCGAAGCTACCGTACATTCAGTATTACCGCACATCCAGCGGGCTGACAGATTAGCCTTCCTGGCAGTCAAATTTTTTTTTAACTTAAAATTCCCCTGCAGTTTTACACGCGTAAAGAGACCGGTTGATTTTGTTTGCGTGACTGTGTCAAGCATGTGATAATGCAAAAACTTGTGTTGCATGATTTCCACTGAAATCTTTGGGGCAAAAAGTACCATATTTGCCGGCGTATAAGACGAGTTTTTAGACTTAAAATCGTGGGTCGTCTTATACGCCGGGTATACAATACCGCTGGATGTGCGGTAATACTGTATGAACGGTAGCTTCGGCTACATACAGTATACCGCTGAATGATAATGAATACAAAGCCTGCCGTGATTGGCTCAGCGCGGTATACTGTATGTAGCCGAAGCTACCGTACATTCAGTATTACCGCACATCCAGCGGGCTGACAGATTAGCCTTCCTGGCAGTCAAATTTTTTTTTAACTTTTAAAATTCCCGCCGCTTCCGCCCCCCTGCGACGCGAATGCTCGCAAGGGACGGAAGGCGGAGGACACAGTGGGGATCATGGACAAGGTAAGAGACTCTAACCCAGCCACACTCGGGAATTCCGCCATGGAGGTTAGTGGGTGTATTTAAACATTATTTTGGCCTATACTCGTCTTATACGACGAGTATAGCCCAAACTTGTTTTAACAGAAAAATTAGGGGGTCGCCTTATACGCCGGCAAATACGGTAGTCTGTTACCTTCTGTGTTTTTTTTTTTTAAGAACACAAAAAAAGATAAAGCGCAATCCTGTGGGCAAACTTCAATGGGATGGCTGATGTTAGTAGGTGTGCAAAGTTCCTCAATACAGGGAGAGGACCCTGTCTATTCGTAACTGCAGATAAAAACTCAAAGGACAGGAGCGCAACTACCAGGAGTGACGTGAACGGAGTGGATCTAGTAGATCTATGCGATGGGGGAAGATGGTGGATCTTGGTGTGTAAGAACTGGGTGTATGCCGTACTGTTAAAGCAAGCTGACTTACAGTTGGAAGCTTCTCTGCGGT